AGGTATTAATGAAGTTAATTTTATCTTTTAGGTAAATATACAATTAATTTAATAGGGGTGGTATTGTTGCAATATTTTTCATATCATGTAGGAGAGATACAAATTTCCCTTAATTAAATAATATTTAATGGTCCATCAACATAACATTATTGCACTCCTTTTTTCTAGCCCAATTTACAATTGAGACACCAATAATAATTACTCAATTTATCTCCTCATGTTTAAGATATAATGTCTTAATTAATTCGATTACTGACAATCAAGAATTAATTAATTTATTATTATTTCACCGAAGCTAGCGCTTGCTCATCACATTATTACTATGCCGGAATTTAATCCACCTGCATGGTTTAGCATAATAATCCTTCAAGAACTCACTCCCGGGACATCATCAAACTAACGCACATGGTGACCGTAAATATCCTAACAGTACATCCTACATGTAACAATATTACCCAAGACAGCGGGTCTATTGGCCCAGTTCACTAAGCCTTACCCATGTGAATCAAAGTAATAAGTACTGCACATATATGCCTGTTTAATATCTTACGGGTTAAGAGTACGCAGTAATGAACCGAGGCTAGTTCGTTTACGACGATAGTATAAAATGAACTGCTCCTCTCTGGGATCATGTTCAATACATAAATGTACTAGTGCAACTAATCAGTCAAGACAAATTGTACGGTTGACACTGCAACCGTTCATGGGTGTTCATATCCATCTAGGTTGTGAACCAATTATTCTTATTTCGCGAGTAAGTGATAGCATGATCTTTGGTTCGCCCGATGACGACCCACACTATCTAATGCAAAACAACAGAACGTAGAACTTGTTTAATCTAACATGTTTCTCATTCATTAAGGGTAAAAGTGTAATAACATTCAAAGCCAAGCTTTCAGTATATAACACTAACACACTCGTCCCTGCAAGAGTTCGTGGATCGACTTCCTCCAATCATCCTTCTCGTCGACTTCCATTGTCTCGCTCAACACGCTTCCTTCTAAGTGCATCATGATAATGTGGCCTCCTATATTTCCTTCATTGGAACTTGCAATCCTCGCGAGCCAGTCGTCTTGCTTGTTTTCCTCTCGTGGGACTTGTGTTAAACTCAAATTTTCCCAGGCCTTGTATTAGGCTTTGAATCTCCTCGACGTATTTCATTCTATCCTCCTTTATTTCGCAATTTCCCAACACTTTCCCCACGACAAGTTGTGAGTCAGACTGCGCCGCAATTTCTGTTGCTCCACCACCAATTGCGAGTTAATCCCTTTGATTAGTGCCTCATACTCAACTTCATTGTTCGAGGCCTTGAACCCCATTCTAATGGCAAAGTCGAGTTGCTCGCCCTCGGGAGACACGAGGACGACTCCCAAACCAGATCCTTTGGCCGCAGAGGATCCATCGACATGCATGATCCATCTCTTTTCTTCTCCCTTGGTGTCTTCCTGAATAAAATCTGCCAAAGCTTGAGCCTTTATGGCTCGTCTGGGCTCATATCTGATGGAGTATTCGCTCAACTCAACCGCCCACTTCACGAGTCGACCCGAGACAGTAGGTCGACCCAAGGTCTCTATGAGTTGAAAGTTTGTTCTCACCACTATCATATGATTCAAAAAATATGGCCTCAGCTTTCTAGCCGTTACCACCAAGGTTAAAGCGGCTTTCTCAACTTCAGAATATCTCGTCTCCACACCTTGGAGTACTCGACTGGTGTAGTAAATCGGCTGCTGGGCCCCTCCCTCTTCTCGCAGCAGCACTGAACTTAAGAAAACTACTCCAACCGAGATGTACAATATCAATTCGTCGCCGGGCTCGGGCTTTGTCAACAGAGGCAGCTCGCTCAGAAATTCTTTCAGCTTTTCAAACGCCATCTGGGCCTCGTCACTCCACTGGAAAGTCGTTGAGCAATGTGAAGAAAGGAAAGCTCTTCTCGAGCAATATGACTAAGATTGAGTCTCACATACTCATTTTAAGGAGTGGTCTCATTGGATCCAATCCCTATATAAATATACATATATAGATTACCAATATCATTAAACAATACAAATCAATCATTGTTACACATAACATCAATTTTAATTCACTATTCATCTACTCACATAAATTTAACTAACTATCACTTCACATCATTTCTCTTTTATTTTTACATCAAATCAACTTTATCGAAACTGACCCCGATTAATCGAAAAAACTCATTTTATACGTACTTATTTGTAAACAATCACGCCCTCTAAGTACTTGTTTGGCAATTTTACCAAAATACAGTACTGAACTGCAAATACATCCGCGTGCTTACTCGCACTTTAGGAAAGACCAAACGACACCATAATTTGTAGAACCGCAAATTTCCAATCCAAACCCCCCACTCTTTTCCCATTTCCGAAGGAGCGGACTCCACTCAACTCAAGTCGCCTCAACTGTACTTTCGTGTATATCTCCTACTCCAAAACACTCATTTTTGTGACTATCTTTCATTTTTTGTTGATCAATCGACTGTTTATTCAGTGATTTTAGTGTTTTTCTGCGATGGTTTTGTCTGTTTCTTAATTTGATTATTCGTAGAAGTTTCAGGAGGAATTCATCAGTATTTAATTATTTATTTTCAATTTCAGAAGTTTGTGCATTTTTTTGGGTGCTTTGATATCTATTTTGATTGACTGAACAGAGATCAGTCCGAATTCACCATTTTTGAATTGTTTTCTAACCCCCCAATTGCTGTTCTGGAAAGAGTATGTTTCAATAATTATCATTTTTCAAGAATGAAGAAGTTCTTTGAGGTAGACTTGTTAGATCTATAAAGAAACACTTTGTCTGATTAGCCATACAGATCTCGTTAAAAAGCGTTTAAAAAAGTTTGCAACTTTACTTAGTAATGAATTTATATTGCCAACAATTTGCATATTCTGCTTGTTATCTTTTAAACCATATTAAGAATTTTCAATGCAGGACAAAGTGCAAAGTCTCCTGAATCATTAAAAAAAAAAGTATGTCGAGTGGGGGAA